AATTCCTGGTCCGAATTCCCAAGGTGGGAGAAAGCCTTGGAAAAATTCCTGGCCCGAATTCCCAAGGTGGGAGAAAGCCTTGGAAAAATTCCTGGCCCGAATCCCCTTTTTTTTTTTTTTTTTTTTTGTTTGTTTGTTTGTTTTTTTCCGGTACTGGGAATCAAACTCATGACCTTACGCTTGCCAGGCAGGCGCTGTGCCGCTGAGCTAAATCCCCAGCCCCTCTGACCTGATTTTCTAACCCCTGCTGCTGTCCTTCCATCAGGCAAATTGAACCAGAAACTGGAGGACAGCAAGCTTGTGTGGTGCAGAGATAAAGAATGGATCTGGGAAGTGGTCTCACTGATGGAGGATGTGGGATATGGGGTGACCCTGCCTTGAGGAGTGGGTGGGCAGAGGCACTGAGCAGAATAAGAGGGAAACACCCGCTCTGTCTAATCCAGATGTGTCTGGTGCCAGCACAGCTGCCCTCTCTGATGTCTCCTTCTCCACACTGCTCTGATGCTGACCCCCTGCTCCATTTCCCCTCCTCTAGGGTGTCCTGGGCCGGGTCTATGAGACCGTGGTGATGTTGATGCTTCTCACTCTGCTGGTGCTAGGAATGGTGTGGGTGGCATCAGCCATTGTGGACAACAAGGCCAGCAGGGAATCTCTCTATGGTGAGAGGCCCAGCTTCCTTCCTCTCTCCCCGCTGAGTGGGTCTTCAGTTGGCCAGTGTCCCCATTCCTTCGGGAACAACTGTATCCTTTTAAAGTAGGAAAGAGTCACCAGTTGTGATGCATATCTGTAATCACAGCATTTGTGAGGCTGAGGCAGGAAGATTGCTTCGAGTTTAAGGTCATCCTGGGCTACATGGCAAGACTCTATCTCAAAAAAAATAAATAAAAAGTACGTTTAAAAAAAGTAGAAGGCTGGGGATATAGCTCAGCGGCACAGTACCTGCCTGGCAAGCTTGAGGTTGTGAGTTTGATTCCTGGTACCCCAACCCACAAAAAGTGGCGAAGAGTGGTTATTCCTTCCTTAGACTAAAGTTTCAAACTGAGGGGCTTCAGCTGGGCATGGTGGTGCACACTTGCAATCCCAGCATTCAGGAAATTGAGGCAGGAGGGTCTCTGTGAGTTCAAGGCCACCCTGAACTGCATACCAAGACCCTGTCTCAAAAAAAAAAAAAAATCAATAAAAACATTTTTTTTTAGGTAGAGAAGAGGGGCTGGGGATTTAGCTCAGCAGCACAGCACCTGCCTGGCAAGTGCAAGGTTGTGAGTTCTATTCCTGGTACCGGAAGAAAAACAAAAACAAAAGTGGAGAAGAGTGGCTCCCCCTTCTTTAGACTGTAGTTTCAGATTGTTGAGTTTTTGGCCTTCCTACAGAAATGTTCCATTGGAGCTAGGTGGAGTGGCACATGCCCATAATCCCAGCTACTTGGGAGGTTGAGGCAGGAGTATCATAAATTCAAGGCCAATCTGGGCAATTTAATGAAATATTGTCTCAAAATTTAAAAAGGGTTGGGAGCTGAGCATGGTGGCACGTACCTATAATCCTGTTACCCGGGAGGCTGAGGCCAGCAGCCAGCCTGGAGATGTAGCTCAGTGCAAAAGCCAAAGCTCTGGGTCTAATCCCCAGTACTGCCACAAAAAAGGGTGTGTAGCGGGGATGCTGGTGACAAAGCTCAGTGGAACGTGAGTGGTGCATGTAGTACTGCTCTCCAGGACCGTCAAAAAAAAGGTATCTCACTCATTAACAAGGTAGAGGACCTGACAGTAGTCCCTGTGACTGGGACCAAGTAGCAGTTGCATCCATCATTGGAGAGGGTATGAGATCTTCCATTCGTCAGCGTCCCTGCCACTCTTCTGCTGACACTCCCCATTAACATTACTTACCTAACTCCTAAAGGTTTTGTTCGTTTTGTCTTTTTGAGATAGGGTCTTGGTACGCAGTTTAGGCTGGCTTTGCGCTGGCTTTGTAGCCCAGGCTGGTCTCGTACTTGAAACAATCCTCAGCCTCCCAAGTGCTGGGGTTACAGGTGTGCACCACCATGGCCAGCTCCTGTGGGCTTTCATACCATGTCCTTGTCTAGACTCGGGCCTGTCAACTGCCAGTAAGCAGGAGGAGGGAGGTGAACTGTCATACTTTTTTCTTTATCCCCTTAGACTTGTGGGAGTACTACCTCCCCTATCTATACTCCTGCATCTCCTTCCTTGGCGTTTTGCTGCTCCTGGGTGAGTATGCAGGGTGTGGGAGGGAATGGTAGGGCTGTGGGCCAGAGCACTAGGGTAGAAGAAGGGATGGAGGGGTGGAGGCAAGGTGGGGAGAAGGATCTAACAGGTGACTGGTCACTGGCTTTTGTTCCTGCAGTGTGCACTCCTCTAGGCCTTGCCCGCATGTTCTCGGTCACCGGGAAGCTGCTGGTCAAGCCCCGGGTAGGTAGTCCTTGCCCTTTTGTCACACAGGGTGAGATTCCCACACAGCTGGAGCCGAACACTGAGGTATCCATGTGCTTGTGTATTGCACAGCTTGCAAAGGGCCACAGCCTTTGTTGGCCTCTATAGCCTTTACCGCTGTCAGTTGTAGCTGATCACTACATGCAAACGGAATGTAAGGCAGCAGAGAAGGACTGGACAAAGCTGATGGCTGGTCAACGGCAGGGTGGGGAATGAGGGTTAGAGGAAGGACTGGGACTGTAGGACCCTTGAATGACCAGGGTTGTATGGGACCTTTAGGATCAAGGATCCTCTGACAGTCCCACCTTTCCCCTGTCCCCAGCTGCTAGAAGACCTGGAAGAACAGCTGTCTTGCTCAGCTTTTGAGGAGGCCGCTCTGACCCGAAGGATCTGTAGTGAGTTGCAGTTCTCCCCAGCTGGGGCGGCAGAGTGGCCTGGGCAGGGGCTGTAGGACCAGGATGTAGCACTCTCTTCTCTGTGCTCAGATCCCACCTCCTGCTGGCTGCCTTTAGACATGGAACTGCTGCACAGACAAGTCCTGGCCCTGCAGACACAGAGAGTCCTACTGGGTATGTGGCTTGGTAGACTTTGGGATAGCTGGGTTTCCCCAAGGAGAGAAGCCCTTGTTCCAGGTTCTTGCTCACAGCTTCCTGTCTGCAGAGAAGCGGCGGAAAGCTTCAGCCTGGCAGCGGAACCTGGGCTACCCCCTGGCCATGCTGTGCTTGCTGGTGCTGACTGTGAGTATATGCGTGGGGGTGGAGGTGGGCAGTGGGCCCGTGAGCCTCCTCAGGAAGGACAGCGAGGTGCAGGGAGCTGGCTATCAGTAATAGTAGTTACTTCTCACTGAGTGCCTACTTTTTTCCTGCTCTGTGCTAAGCACATCACAGTCTCCATTTAGTGAATGAAGACACAGAATTAACTTGTATAGTCATAGAGAGCCATTGAATGGTTATGCAGATTTTCCCTGAAATGAGAATAAGGGTTGAAATCCAATCCATCTCCCATTTGGTACAGATTAGGCTTACTAGACTTAGAGCAGGTCTTACAGTCAGAAGAGTTCCCTGGTTTTCTAGACAATATCCCGCCCCTCCCTCTCTCTTTCTCTGTGTGGTACTGGAGATCAAATTTGGTTTTGCACTCGTGCATGCTAGGCAGATGCTGTACCATTGAGTTACATCCCCAGCCCCACAGATACCTTTTTCTGTGCAGCCTTTTTGCAATCCTTCAAAGCATCGTGTCTCATAATATCCTTGGAGCCAGATGTGCTAGTACACGCCTGTGATCCCAGCAGTCAGGAGGCTGAGGCAAGAAGATCATGAGTTTGAAGCCAGCTTGGGCTACATAGTGTCACCCTATTTTTTGTTTTCATTTTTGTTTTTTTCCCCGGTACTGGGGATCGAACTCACGACCTCATGCTTGCTGGGCAGGCACTGTGCTGCTGAGCTAAATCCCCAGCCCCCACTCTCCCTATCTAAAAACAAAACAAAACAAAACCCTCCAAAGTGCCGTATTGATAACAGAATTGAGACAACTCCTCACACCAAGGCAGAGCTAGATTTTTTTTTAGTTTTGGTACCAGTGATCGAACTCAGGACCTTGCGCTTGCGAGGCAAGCGCGTGTGCCACTGAGCTGTATCCCCGGCCCAGAGCTGAATTTGGAAGTGGGAAATGTTGGGCGAGAGTGTCCGTTCTTTTTTTTTTTGGTTTTTCTCCGGTACCGGGAACCAAACTCACGACCTTGCGCTTGCCAGGCAGGCACTTTTGCAGCTGAGCTAAATCCCCAGCCCTGAGAGTGTCCGTTCTTAACAGTGCACCCTGGGTACCGTCCAGGGCTGGGCGGGGGTGGAATCTGACCTCGCCTCACACAGGGCCTGTCTGTGCTTATCGTTGCCATCCACATCCTGGAGCTGCTCATCGATGACGCTGCCATGCCACGGGGCATGCAGGTATGGGCTGCCCTCCCACTCGGGTCTTCTGGGGAGAGGGGCCAAAGACGAGGAGCGCGAAAGGCTGGGTGTTGGGTGGTTCTGATGGTAAGGAGTGCAGTTCCTCAGGGATACTCCTCTCCCTTCAGGATCCCTCCTTGGGCCAGGTCTCCTTCTCCAAGCTGGGCTCCTTTGGGGCCGTCATCCAGGTTGTACTCATCTTGTATCCTTCTGGAAACCCTTCCTTGCCTCTGCTTGCCAACCCTGTCTCCTGGGGCTCTGGACAGCGCTCCTCGGGGGCTCTTTTTCTGGGGTCTGTGGACAGGTATGGGGCAGAGTTCAAGCCTTCAACCTTGGGTTCAGAAAGAAGGGAAAGACCGACTCTGAAAGGACTGGGAGAGAGGTCCAGTCCCTTTGAGATGAGGCATTCATTTGTCCTTGGGAGCTGGCGAATTCTTCCCTAACCCAGTTTCAGTTACCTGATGGTGTCCTCGGTCGTGGGCTTCTACAGCTCTCCACTCTTTAGGAGACTACTGCCCAGATGGCACGATACAGCCATGACTCAGGTAGCTGGGAGGGAGGTGAGGGAACTCCTGGTGGCATGGGTAGGTACTGGGTATGGGCAGTTCTGCTACCCGCTCCTCTTCTTTCCCTGTGCCCACCCAGATAATTGGGAACTGTGTCTGTCTCCTGGTCCTAAGCTCAGCACTTCCTGTCTTCTCTCGAACTCTGGGTAAGTAGCAAAAGGAGGTAAGGGGTTACTGCTCAGCAGGCACTATGCAAGAGAAAGAGTGTGTGTGTGTGTGTACACCTTCTCTAATTCCCACAACAGATTTAAGAGATACTACCCTATTATACAGATGAGGAAACTAAGGCTCTGAAGTGCCTGTGCCAGGCTTCAGAGTACTGTTACTTCTGAGTTCATGCACTTGCTACATCTCACTGCCTCCTCACTTCTACTTTCCCTTTAGGCCTTTTTTCTGGGTGGATCATCTAATAAACGTCCTTACTTGCATGCATGAAGCCCTGGGCTTCAATCCCCAGCAGCCCCCAGTCTCATTTGAAAGATAAGAACAGGGGCTGGGGATTTAGCTCAGCGGCACAGCGCCTGCCTGGCAAGTGTGAGGTTGGGAGTTCGATTCCTGGTACCGTGGGAAAAAACAAAGAAAGATAAGGAACAGAAAAAGCTAACTGATGGACCTAGAGTGAGTGAGTGTGTGAGTTAGTTAGCTTCATGGAACTGGGGATTAAACGCTTGGCCTTCACACAGACCTATGTCACTAGCCCTTGTTTTTAATTTCTATTTTGAGACGGGGTCTTACTAAATTTACCAGAGAGCAGTGGGATTACAGGTGCACCAGTGTGCTCAGCTGACCCTGAGCTTTACAACTAGTTGAAGGCAAGGCCACATCAGGCTAGAACATTTGTTTCCTGAGCCCCAGGCCAGTGATTTCTCCATGCACGGGAACATCATGTAATACCCTCAGTCTTTCTGCTGACTTTAGAGCTGTGGTCTAGAATTACTTGGTTAAAAAGTTCAAAAAGTGTGATTGGTGCAGCCCAGCGTAGTGTGGAAACTATGGAAGTAACAACCCCCCCACACCCATATCCTCTGTGTTGTATAATTTTGTATTCCAATCACCTCTGTTCAGTTTTTTTTTGTTTGTTTGTTTTGTTTTTTGGTCTTTTTTGAGACAGGCTGTCCCTATGCAGTTCAGGCCGGTCTTGAGCTCACTTTGTAGCCCAGGCTGGTCTCAAACTCGCAACGATTCTCCTGCCTCAGCCTCCTGAGTGCTGGGATTACAGGCATGTACCACCACTCCCGGCAAGTTCTTAAATTTACTCTGGTTGAGTTTCCCTTACCTGAAATGCTGGGGATCAGAAATGTTTCAAATTCTGGATTTTTTGAATTTTGGGATATTTGCATTGACTGAACTGATTGGGCATCACTAATCCAAAAATCTGAATCCAAACTGCCCCAAGCTGGGTGTTACAGCTTTTAGGGAGGCTGGGGTAGGAGGATCACTTGAGCTTACCAAGTGAAAACCCAGCTGGGTGACGTAGGGAGACCCCATATCGAAGTAAAACAAGTGCTCAGCACTTGGGAGACTGAGGCAAGTTAGAGGCCAAGCAGGCAATTTAGCAAGTTCCTGTCTCAAAATAGAAAGGACTGGGCATGGAGTTCAGTCCCTAGAACCAAGGTAAACAAAGGGCTGAGGATGTAGCTTAGTGTGAAGTTCCTGGGTTGCATCCCCAATACTCCCAGTATGAAGGACATTCACCCTGTATTTTTTGCCAGTGTCACTTGTACTTGGGAATTTAGCAGGAAAGTAAGTTTGTGGGTCCATCAGTTCAGCTAGGTTGGATGCAGGTAGCATTGTTTGGAGCGGGATCAGATCTTTGATTCATAATATTAGTGTTATTAAAAGCTTAGTAAGTATTAGAGCAGTGCCTCACATCTATAGGGCTTTATGTGTGCTGCCTAATTTAATTCTTTCAGTCCCATTCTTGATTTTATAGTTGAGGAGCCACAGAGAGATGAGGAATTTTCCCCAGACCACACAGCTAGCCAGGTGGATATGAACCAGAGCAGTCCCATCGCAGAATGAGCACTTAGCTCCTGTACTGCTTTGTGGGGTTTTGTTTTTGTTTTTGTTTCTGGGTTTTTTGTTTTGGTTTGGTTTTTTTTGGTACCAGGAATTGAATTCAGGACCTTGTGTTTGCTAGACAGGTGCTGTGCTGCTGAGTTATATCCCCGGCCTGCTTTGTGTTTTAAAGAATACTTGGTGACCAGCTAGCCTAGGAACAAGTAGCAGGCTTGGTAGTTCCTGTGGCTACCTGGAGCCAGACAGGAACCTATTGGAGGAGAAGCAGCCAGACAATGGAAGGGAAATTGGAGTGAGTTCAATAGCTGAGAAAGTGGCCTTAGAATACAGCTTGGAGCTGGGTGTGGTGGTACAGGCTTTAATCCCGGCACACGGGAGGCAGAGGCAGGAGGAACACCATGAGTTCAAAGCCAGCCTAAACTACACAGCAAGACCCTGTCACCGAAAAAAAGGGGGAAAGAATGGAGCTTAGTGGCAAGACACAAACAGGGATGCCAGCCTACCGGTTGCATTGCTGAGCTACGTCCACCAGGAGGCAGCAGAAAATTGGGCTCCTAACAGGAGAGGGTTGGGATCTCATCGTGGCTGTTGTACTTTAGGACTCACTCGCTTTGACCTGCTGGGTGACTTTGGACGCTTCAACTGGCTAGGCAGTTTCTACATCGTGTTCCTCTACAATGCAGCCTTTGCTGGCCTCACCACGCTCTGTCTGGTGAAGACCTTCACTGCAGCTGTGCGGGCAGAGCTGATCCAGGCCTTTGGTGAGAAGTGGGGTGGTGTAAAGCAGGGCACCTGGACCTGTCATGCTCCCAGGAAAGACGCTGAGCTTAGTGTCTAACATATTTCACCAGGGACCATCCAGTTCTGTGCTCTGCCTGGCTTGTTCCCGGGGAACTGGACCTGTGTCCCACTTCTGACTGCCCATCTCTCCTTCTCCAGGGCTGGACAGGCTGCCACTGCCTGTCACTGGTTTCCCTCGGTCATCTAAGAAGAGTCAGCACCAGTGACCTCTGTCTGGGGGAGGAAGGAGAAAACTGGATGTTGCCACCTGCTGCCTAGGCCCAGAGGGGACCCCAAGGGTGGTTGGACCTCAGAACCTCAGGACCTGGAATCTGAGAGGATGGGTGGCAGAGGGGAGCTGAGCCATCTTCACTGTTGCATAATCTGAGCCAGAGTTTGGGACCAGGACTCTTTATTTTCCAGACTAACTGTGGCCTCAGCATGAGGTAGGGCTGGGTGGCTGGGTCTGGCTCTTGGTCCCAAATCCATTTACACATCAGTCTGCCTCACTGCTGTTCCGGGCCATGCCCATAGCCATGTTTACATGATGTGATGTGCAATAGGGTAGGGCGAGGGTGGGAGGGACTGAGCCAGAGCAGGCTTAGGAGGCAGGGTGTCTCCCTTGCTTCTGCCCAGCAGAGCCTAAGCACTGTGCTGTCCCGGAGAGGCTTTGGACCACTGGAGGAGCTGGGAGCTTAGGGAGAAAGAGGCTGCACCATCAGCAATAAAGTCGATCCCAGGGTTTGCTTTCTGTTGTTCTTAAGCCTTTCTGTGTCTGTTTGAAGAACCTTGTTCCCCCGTGTCCTGAGTCTACCAAGTGAGACAAACAGGACCTGCTGTCAGCCTTCCCTTCTCCTTGTTACACTGTTGGTGTGCCGTGGGGACACAGAGCTGGTGTTAGGCCATACAACTGGGCAGTGGGAGGTGCCCCTCTAGTCTTGTTAAAGTTGGTTATTCCTGACTTGTCCTTACTCTCAGGGCCTTGTTAATAATTGGAGATGTAGTGGGGTATGCTGTTCCATGCCTGTGATCCCCACACTTGGGAGGCTGAAGCAGGAGGATGGCCTTGGGTTTGATACATAGTGAGTTCAAGGCCAGCCTAAACTACATAGTGAGACCCTGTCTCGGGGGAGGAGGGGGGAAGCCAAAGAAGTTGGGAATTAAAAAAGAATTGGGGATAGAAAGTTATGAGCATAGGAATAAGGTACCCTCCCCTCTGTACACATCTTCAGTCTTGAGTCTCAGTCTCCCTGCCTTGGCAGTTGACTACAAAATAAAAGTGGCTGGTTGAGCCAGTGGTGGCACACACTAACCCCAGCACTCTAGGAATTATAAGCAGGAGGATCACAAATTCAAGCCCAGCCTGGGTAACTTAGACCCTGCATCAAAATAAAAAATAAAAGGGCTGTGGATGTAGCTCATTGCTGAGCCCGAGTTCATCCCCCTACTGCAAATTTTAAAGGGGGTGGGTAGTACTGCCTGGTGAGGATTTATCATAACTCAGAAAAAAGCCTAACTTCAAGATGGGTATGGTGGCAAATACCTGTAATCCCAACACTCGGGAGGCTGAGGCAAGAAGATCGCAGTGAGTTCAAGGCCAGCCTGGGCTACATAGACCGTGAGCCAGGTGTGGTGGCTCATGCCTGTAATCCCAGCTCTTGGTAGGCTGAGGTAGGATGATTGCCACGAGTTTGAGGCCAGCCTGGCCTACATAGCAAGACCCTGCCCCCCAGCCTAATTTCTTCGCAGTCTATCAGTTTCATGAAGTAAAGTTCCCTCACTGTTGAGGATAAAGACAGTTTCTTCTGCCTAGTGTTATACACACTGCATTGCCTAATTTCTAGGACCACCATGTACCTTATAGTCATCATATGTATAATTACTATGACCATTTTCTTGTCTCCCCCTGACTTCAGCGCTGGGGACTGAACACAGACCCTCACATGCTAGGCAGGTGCTCACCGCTGAGCCGCATCTCTTGAGAGAGGATTGCTCTTTTCTAACGCACACAAAGTTGCTGTGAGTGCTAACAGTGGAGGGGTGAGGGGAGGGTGCAAGTTCCACAGATACTTGCTAAGCACCATACTGTAGGCCAGGCCCTTAGCCTTGAGATCTGTGATAAACAAGCTGTGCTAAGAACTGCTCTGTCTAGAAGGGTGCCAAAGTAACAGTGTCTGACCAACCGTGCAGTTAATTGCTACTTCACAAGGGGACGCGGGTGGGCAGTGCTGAGACACGGGGGAATGCTTCTGGAAGGAAGTAATTCGTGAACGAACGATTGAAATTGGTGGGTGAATCCCTTTGAGATGGGGCCTGGTTGGGAATGGTTGGTTTACACTGGTGTGGATAGGCCTCTTGTGCACTTCTCTGCAGGCCTGCAGAGTTCCTAGGAGCCTACCCAGAGGTGCCTTGGTGGAAGGTGCAGGGGAGCAACAATTGGCCTCTTACAGACTGGGACTTGCAGTGCCCACTGTGTTTCAGCAGCTTCCGAGTGACCAGTTATTTGTTCAGAGAGAAGTGGGGTTGGATGTCTGGCAAGGATTGAGAGGGAGCCAAAGTTGAGGATACTAAGCCAGGCTCACTACGAAGTTCTGTTCCTCGTTCTGGGGAAGTTCCCAGTGGAAGACTAAAGTTACAAGGCAAATCTGGGACCCACGCCTTCCCGTCCTGCTTACTGCCAGCCGCGATAGGTTTGGGGAGGTTCATGAGAAAGATGCTCTGATTGTGCGCCCAAAGGATTTGGCTGGCCTTGGACAGAAATTGGAACCCATACTTCCTGGATGACAGCAGAGGGCATGGCCTGCCAGGGTAGGCTTTGGAAGAGCGAAAACCCAATTCAAGTGTCAGAGGAGGATGACTTGGTTCCAAATTTAGGCTTGGAGGTAGAAGGATGCTTATCCGGGCAGCCAAGGACTGTAAAGCTACAAGGATTTCCTAGGCAGGTGCCTGCCTGGTTTCCAGGATAGAACACACTTCAGCTGGAGAAATGGAACAGTGGTGACTGGCTGGATCCCCCGCCCGGGTGCGAGGGGGAGGGACGGTCCTGGGAGAAGGGCGGGGGGCGTGGCCAGGGGCACTTAAGGCGGAGCCTGGGCACTCTGGCAGCACCGAGACCGGCAGCCGAGACGGGCTGGGCTGGCAGTCACCCACGACCCCCCTTCACTGCTATGGTAGCCCATCAGTAGCAGGCTCCAGGCCTCGCGGGACATGTGGGCAGAGCTGGCGGTAGCCAGGTGCACAGAGCCCGGGGAGCTCTAGGGCACTCGGGGCAGCTCTGCCTGCTGCGCTCTCTGGAGCCTGCGGAGATGCCCAACTGACAGGAGGGCCAGTGAGGACGGGAACGCTCCCTGTAGCCCAGGCGCGCTGCACCCATGGCGCTGCCGGCCAGTCTGTTGCCCCTGTGCTGCTTGGCACTCCTGACACTGCCTGCCCAGAGCTGCGGGCCCGGCCGGGGGCCTGTTGGTCGGCGCCGCTATGGGCGCAAGCAGCCTGTGCCGCTGCTCTACAAGCAATTTGTGCCTAGCGTGCCCGAGCGGACCCTGGGTGCCAGTGGGCCAGCCGAGGGGAGGGTGGCACGGGGCTCCGAGCGCTTCCGGGACCTCATACCCAACTACAACCCCGACATCATCTTCAAGGACGAGGAGAACAGTGGTGCTGACCGCCTAATGACGGAGGTAAGCAGGGTCTCTTCCCACCTGTGCCAGGGCACTGCCAACTCCCGTTTTCTCTAGCAGCCCGGGAGGGTGAGCCAGGCGTCATCTACAGAGACTTTATTCTTAAAGACCCTTCCCAGCACTCTCCTCCGAAAACTACCCTGCGGGCTGGACAGTGGTTTAGGAGGTGTCCCAGCGGGAGAGCCGGGATGGGACGTGGGGGAGGGACTGACGAGTGAGAGTGAGGCTGGGAGAGGCCGCGAGGGCGGGGACAGGAGGGTGGAGGAGGGAGGCAGGCGAGACGGGAAATGGCTGAGGCGTGGACCGGGGGTCAGCCACTGCGCCAGGCAGGAAGGGCTGGGGTGAGCTGGGGGCCAGGGGCTGGCTGGGCAGCAGACAGAAGGCTCTACCCTGAGCCTGGCTCCTGACCCTTGTGGCTCGTGGAAACGCTCTAGGGGCCAAAGCGAAGAGACTGAGGGGCCTGGGAAAGAGGCGGCTTGGTGGTCGGGTCACCAAGCCATCCACCTGAGGGCTGCGAGGGATGGTCTTGGGCGTGTGACAGGTGTCCTGAAACCAGGACAGGGCTATTCGAGGGTAAAAGCGACATCGGGGGCACCCTCCGTGAGAACAGGGGAGCCCAGCTGAAAGTCGAAAGGGCTCCAAGCTCAGTTTAGCTCAGGGGCTTTCCTTTGAATTAAAGAATCAAACCCAACTAACCATTGCTAGCATTTGCTGCAGACTGGAACCAAACCCGCCTGGGGCGAGGTGGCCCGCGCCTCGGAGGGAAGCAGCACCTCTGGCCAGGGACCCGGAGTGTCAGAGCCGAAAGGGAGCTTGGAAGTCACATTCCTCCACCCTGGCCCATCTCTCCTTTCACCCTCACAGCTGGGCGCCAGGAGGAAAAGCAGTTTAATCAAAGCCTCACAACAAATTGGTGGCACTGCAGGGACTGAATTCAGAACTCCCGATTCTAAACCCTGTGCACTTTCCATTACACCACCTAATTGTGTGCGGAGAGAGGAGGTGGGGGGAGAGGGAGGGAGACGGATTTCCTCTGATTAATTGCCACAGTTTTCCAGGTTACTTTGTTAGGAAAACCTGTCCAGGGGAGACAGAATTCCTCTGGCTTCTGCGTTGACGCCTCCCTCCTACCCCGGGACCCAGAAGGGGCATTCCCTTCTCCCTCCTTGGTCGTGGGACACTGCGGCCCTTTCCTCAGGCTGCCACCTGCTGCAGAGGGGGCAGAACAAGGGACGGGCCCGGGGGAGGCTCTGACAGGCCTGGGAGTCCCCTCAGTCTTGCTTATCTCCCACACCCTGGCTGCAAAAGGCCTCCATTGAGTCGGCTCTGCCCTGGGCTGCTGCCCCCGCAGATCACGGCCTCCCAAGGGGACGAAACGACAAGGAGTTGGAAGGAGCCGCCACTTTTCCTGCCCCCCCCCAGGTGGGGGCGACCAGGGAAGAAGGGCAGGGGGGAATGTGTCCCCCGGCAGTCGGGAAAACCAGGTCCGAGGTGAGAGGCGGGACGAGGAGGCCGCCCCCTGCTCCTGCCCGGCGTCCGCGCTGTGGTGCGCGCCAAGGTCTCCGGTCCCAGCCGGGGGCGCCGCGATAACCGGCCTCGCTCCCACACACCGGCTTCCAGCCGCGGCGCCGTCCCTGCTCTCCGCTCCCACCCCGCAGGGGCCCCGGCTCCGCG